ACACAGAGAACCGCGAATTCCTTAACCACTCCAGCAAATGGTTTAGAAGGCGCATAAGCGGTCCAATTGTGGTAACGGTAAGAAATGTATACGACTTAATGGACCGAAACATTTCTTACCAACTTTAATAACTTTTTACAACCCTTTCACCTTTTTTTTTCCATATTTTCATATTTTTTCTAAAACCTTAAATGTCTTTGAAAAATACCGCGCTTGTATTATTTGCAGATTAACACACAGAAATAGACCCACGATTTTAGCTTATCGGTAAATACTGGAAAGGTGAACTGCTCGGTTGTTGGTGCATAGTACATCGGACTGCCCACCGGCCATCGATTCGCATCTTCAGCACTATTAAAAAGAATAGCGTACAGTGGCTTTACGACCGGCCCAAGCACATCGAATATCTGAAAATAACGAGAAATGTAAAAAAAAAAAATTCAAAAAAAAAAAAGTTCACATAACAAAAATTATCTACCAAAAATTTCTTGCAACATTATTTTTTCAAATATTTTTTTTTGGTATTGAAGATCAATGCACGCCAATAAACCATCTGGAAGCGACTAAGGCCTTGTTCAGAGTTCTTGCTAGGAAAATCATTGCGCTAGCAATCCCTTCAGAAAACAAAATAAACATCAAAATCACTAGAAAGCCGGTCACTAAGCGATGGAAGTCAGGCTAAAACAACTGCAGAAGTTAACAGGTATATCTGATAATCGAGGCTAAGCTGAATGTAGTATGATTGTAGCATGCAAGTAGATGTTAGGAGCTTAGGGAGGTTAGGCATGGAGCGAACTAAATATAGATGGATGTAGAAATAGAGTTAGTTCGAAAGAACTATGAACGAATTAAGACGTTTCGGTCCATTAAGTCATATACATCACGACTGGATCTCGTCAGTATGACGGTTGTGATGTTCAGAGACAAGGAAAGAGAAGAAATTTACAGTCCCAATACAATTATTTCAAGCAAGTATCAGTTACAGCATAAAAGCCGTGACTTTGAAAATATACAGGCTTTGAAGCATGACAAATTTCATTTTTCCCCCTGCACAATTTTAGCATTTCCTCGTTTTTCTTCTCGTCTTGTGACACTTTATCCCACGTATTCTACAGGTTTCCCAGATTATTAGGAACACGCACAACTCCACACAATAAAGAATGCTCGAACCACAGTCATATTTTTGGGCCTACGTTAGAAATGCGGCTAAAACATGGGATTTTCCAATGCAATTTTCGCAAAAATACATCGGCTGATCAGTCGAGAGCAGTAACACAACTAAAAGGGGAGGAATGCTTGGAAAAAAACATGTTCAATATATGTCTTTTATAGCTTGGAAAGCATTATTCAATTACTTATGATGCCTTCTAAAGCGAATCTTACAAGTAGTAAAAAACTGTACTTCGCCAACGGAATTACGTTCGGCATCAAAAACGATGGTCTCGAAATCGAGTGCAATATTCGAGTCGGCTTCAATCACCACTGAAATAGCAGTCCATCGATTTTTTTTGCAAATTTTACAGTCTTTTTTTACAAATTTTATAAAACTGGTGTTTCTATTTTAATATCCAGTTGACATTATAAAGCAAGATGCACCAAAATAAAGGCCCCCTCATGGACAATACGAGTAGAAAAGTCAAAAAAGCGTAGAAGACTTTTTTAAGACATTAAAAACTATGTTTGTTTTTCCTCTTTCCGAGATTGCTAACAGGTCTTTTTGAGTTGTAAAGCTATTAAGGGCACTGCAAACTTAGCAATAATTGGCGAACGCACGGACCACCTGTGCGAAGATGCGTTTTTTGCATAATTCCCCACAGTTTTCGTTGCTACCGGCACCGGTTTTTTTCGGCAAATGCTTCTAGCTAAACAAATTAAGATTGGCCCCCAGGAACTGGCGGTCAATCTTAATTTGATTAGCTAGAACTGCTAGGAAACATCCCCTTAAAATTTCAGCTTTCTAGCTTTTCTGGCTCCTGAATGAGCAACTTACCTGAAAAAAAAACTTTGGCAACCCGAGGGATGGGTTTCAGCTCATTAGTACCTACTTGGACGGGAAACATCACCCTAAGATTTCAGCATTCTAGCTTCTCAGATCCCCGAGTTATGAACTCCCCGCAAAAAACTTTGGCGGGCTCTTACGTGGGTACCACACAGGCAGTGGCGCCCATTTTGGGGATTGGGACTCGTACGTGCATGTAGATTAAGTTCCGCTCGTACAAGGGGCCCAGGCAGGCGTAAAGGTTGGCGCCGCGGTCCTGGTGTGGCACTACGTCGGGGAACCCATTGGTAGAATTTTAGCGCCGGAACCTGCTTAGTTGCCGAGTTGAAATACCCGGACAGGCGCACACGCGCAGCTTTTATAGGTTTTGAAATGAAAAATCGGGACAGACGCACACAGACACACGGACACACAGACAACCCCTCGTCACTATGCGTTTTTGCACTGCATAGCTGCAAAAATGCATAAAACGGAAAAGCTGTGGAACTTACCTTGTCTATCAACAATACTGACAACTTTTCCAAACTGCACAAGTGGAATATCCTCGAGTACGTGAATACTGAGCTCTTCAATAGCCGGTAAATTGTCGTACTCATGCTCTATGATGGACGAATTGGCTTTGCACGCCACGATGTTTTCTTCTGATTTGAAAGCTCGATTTTCCGGCCGCACTTGGGATATCGTTTCAAAAAATCTGCATAAGTCAGCTTTTTAAGCAAAACATAATATTTTCCTTAATAACGACTTGGCTGAAGATAATACGTTCTAACTGAGGCAGGAAAATTAGCGAAAATTTCATAGAAATTAGCGAAAATTAGAAAATTTTGGAAGAATTACCGATCGAAATCTTCATCGGAACTGGTGCTTCCGTCCGAGAGCTCCTCATCATCTAGAATCAATGAAACACATCTGCAAAAATACAGTTATTTAGTAAAGAACTGGGAAAGAACTTTCGTATGAAACTAGCGAATTGGTCGAGAAAGCTGAGTGAAGGATAACCTGAAATTCGTTGGATCAGAGATTTTGAAGCGATCAGCGAAATGCTCCTCATCGGAATCACGGTCCTTGCAATCTGTGCATGCACTATCCACAACGGAATTAACAACTTCCGATATAACTGCCTGATCCTGAAGGTAACAAAAATCCATATCGGATAAA